GTGCCAAGTCCTCGTAATAAATATTATAATTTTTAGTAGGCGTTAAAAATCTCTAAAAAATGTATGATGACTTCATTGAACGCAACAAGGCTGCATCAAGATTTTGCTTTATGAGTTTAGAAGTCGTTTGGAATAATGATAAACAATAGATAGCCCTGCATTAGTGGAGAAACACATCACTGTACAGTAAAATGATTAGCCTATTTACAGTTTTATCAATATCTCTTATTTGATCTCTGTCACCTTTATTTTTAAAAAGACAGCCTATATAATTATGAATTATGATGTTTTCTTATATTCTCGCTGATGAAGGCGACAAGAGTGGCAGAAATATCAGAGTTACTAATAAATCCGTGTTCTTAAAGTCTACTATTGAAGCTGTTTCATTTTTTTTCTCTATTCTGTTGGAACACACGTGGAACACAAATGATATATATATAAAATTCATAAAATCTTTTATTCTCAATATATGAGCTATAAAGCATTACACTGCACAATCGTTGCGGTTCTCAAATAAATTATTATGTGTTTTAGGTCGGACAACATGAACCAAAGCAGAGCTCGAGAGGTGCTGTTAAATTTGGTGGCAAAAGAAAATTTCCGAAAAGAGGGCAATACCAAGAGACCAAAAGAGTTAAGTTGTTGAAGTAGTGGCCGCCCAGGTAGTCATGTACTGGGAACCGGTGGAGATCCAATGAAGAGGTCTTAAGAAGATTTCTAAACGAATTGATTTGCGAGGCTTACCCAGTGAATTTTAGAAATCTATAATCCGTAAAAATTATATAGTCCTAAACCTGTCTCTTATACACATCTAGATGTGTATAAGAGACAGGTGCAAGGTTGGCGACTAAAACCGTTAAAAACGGGAAATATACCTACTATATATAATATCTGTCTCTTATACTAAACGCCAAAAGACCAACATTAAAACTTACTTCTGCATCCGGGTTTTTATATGCAATGCCCAATGGGAAGCTTCCAAGCACAGTCGATTCAGTTTTTAGGTTGCACAGTCGGTTAACAAACTAAGTCGATTTTTATCAAGCACAGTATGTTTTCGGCTTTCCAGTGAGTTACAGTAAACCTTTGTTTTAGCTGCTTCGACCAATGCTGTCTCATTGCATTTTAGTGGTTTCTATATATTTTTAGGTCGGAAAAATATGAAAATGCTATCAACACATGTACCTGAACTACTACTCAATTTCTGACATTACGTAATGAAAATAACATGCAACATATCTTCTTTTAGTGGTCTTCTAAGTACCTTTTGAGAGTCCATGTATTGTTGGTTTAAACATTTTCAAAATATCATAAACATTACTTTTTTCTGTCCGTACGGTATAACTTTCCAAATTAATGATGAAAGAAATTGTTTGGCGATGGTGGGCTCGAAAGAGCGGCCGGAGGGGCAGTGCTACTAAAAGATGTAACACCGCGCTAATAACCCTAAAATTGGAACAGGGGTGATATAGTGCAAGGTTGGCGACTAAAACCGTTAAAAACGGGAAATATACCTACTATATATAATATAACTATTTCCCATTTTGCCAACCAAATTAACCTAAAAACCTAATTTATAGGGCCTATTTATTAACAATTTCTTTTTTTTTTTTTTTGTATATTGATACATAACGTCTTTGAAATCGACTTATAAAATCATGCCTGTACGGTACCTTGTAAAAAATAGGCACTTTTAGAAAGTCCACGGATAGTCTATGTATTTTTGCCTTAACATTTTCAAATTATCATAAAAAATTATTTTTAAACTAATTTTCTCATTTTGCGGTAACGTACAAACTATGAACTTTAGTATAAACATTATTGAATTTATTAAATATGTACCCTGATTTTGAATACTAGATAATGATAAAGCATTTAAATCTATATGTTTTCCTTGTGAAATTTTAGGTAAAACATTTTCTTTTAAATACACTTCAATTTTTATGTTGATTATGCTTAAGTTACTTCAAATTAATGAGCAAGTTAATTTTAACCATGATTTATAATAACATTTTTGGTATTTATTATACTAAATAATTACGATTATAATAACATCACTTTAAGTAAATGGACGTTTTCTTTTATTTTCGCTGTGAAATTTATTGTTTAAACTCACTTAATTAATAATAATAATAATAATAATAATAATAATAATAATAATCAGTATTTATATTCTTCTTTTAAATGTATATGTTGATAATGTTTATGCTACTTCAAAATGATTATTTTTAATGATATTTTTAGTATTCAACATTTTTTATTTAAAAAGTAATGTTCTTTTAAGATTTTTTAAATGTCAAAACTTGGATGGTAGTCCAGTGATAATAACACGGTAATTCGGTATATTAATTTGATTACACTGTGTGACTTTTATTTGATTTACATGCTCCATAGGTGTCCAGAGTGCTAACAGAAAAAAATAATGAGTTGCAGATACATGTCTACTGTAGAAATAAAGACAACGCTAACGATCTTAAAGATCGCTTGCAAACTTGGTGTAAAGATAATGGATACAAACTGAAGGTAAAGTATCGGTATCATATAATTGGGCTATTACATATAGATAGTTAACATGCTTGCCTTTCAACTCTTACATTTCTTTCACCTCAGAAAACAAATTGTATTATCTTCTGAAGTTGATTCTAAATTTCGGTTCTGGATGAAAAAAATTGAAGTGAAGTGAAATCTTAAAATTTCTATTTGTACATATCGATTTTGTCTCTCTGGAGCTGGGACAGCAACTCTAAAGCAAGCAAATGCTAAAATAGTCCACATATCCAGAAATCGTGATGAGGGGTAGTAAAAATATTAGTTAAAAAACCTTGTTGTTAATTGTGCCAAGTCCTCGTAATAAATATTATAATTTTTAGTAGGCGTTAAAAATCTCTAAAAAATGTATGATGACTTCATTGAACGCAACAAGGCTGCATCAAGATTTTGCTTTATGAGTTTAGAAGTCGTTTGGAATAATGATAAACAATAGATAGCCCTGCATTAGTGGAGAAACACATCACTGTACAGTAAAATGATTAGCCTATTTACAGTTTTATCAATATCTCTTATTTGATCTCTGTCACCTTTATTTTTAAAAAGACAGCCTATATAATTATGAATTATGATGTTTTCTTATATTCTCGCTGATGAAGGCGACAAGAGTGGCAGAAATATCAGAGTTACTAATAAATCCGTGTTCTTAAAGTCTACTATTGAAGCTGTTTCATTTTTTTTCTCTATTCTGTTGGAACACACGTGGAACACAAATGATATATATATAAAATTCATAAAATCTTTTATTCTCAATATATGAGCTATAAAGCATTACACTGCACAATCGTTGCGGTTCTCAAATAAATTATTATGTGTTTTAGGTCGGACAACATGAACCAAAGCAGAGCTCGAGAGGTGCTGTTAAATTTGGTGGCAAAAGAAAATTTCCGAAAAGAGGGCAATACCAAGAGACCAAAAGAGTTAAGTTGTTGAAGTAGTGGCCGCCCAGGTAGTCATGTACTGGGAACCGGTGGAGATCCAATGAAGAGGTCTTAAGAAGATTTCTAAACGAATTGATTTGCGAGGCTTACCCAGTGAATTTTAGAAATCTATAATCCGTAAAAATTATATAGTCCTAAACTGACACCTGGATGTTTGTATTAAAACATGTAATAGCCTACTATAATAGTATATTGGAAAATTAATCTGGTATTAGCAAAATGTGTTGAATGTGGTGGTAAAAGAAAATTACCGAAAAGGGGCCGATACCAAGAGACCAAAAGAGTTAAGTTGTTGAAGTAGTGGCCGCCCAGGTAGTAAAGTAATGGGAACCGCTTGAATTCCAGTGAGGAGGTCTTAAAAAGATTTCTAAATGTATGGATTTGAGAGGCTTACCCAATAAATTTTAGAATCCTGTAATCCGTAAAAATTATTTAGTCCTAGACTGACACTAGGATGTTTGTATTAACACATGTGATGGACTATTAAATAGTATAATAGATAATAATTCTGGTAAGCAAAATATTAATGGGGCTCCACTTCAGTTTAAAAAACATATGTGTGATTGGAATTAGGACAATTTTTTTTCAAGAACTACCTCTCGAAGCTCCTACTACTAGAGAGAGGGTCCAAATAGATGTATATAATTAATATGAAATAAGATTCACAGATGGAATTCATATCATTATATTTCATTTATATGAACAATAACTTGTTTATGATGCCTGTAAAGACAAACCAAAAACGATTGCTGCTTTAGGAGCAATCATTTAAATTAAGTTTTGGCAGGGCCTAGAGGCCTGTTGCTTTTAGGCATTCATACTTTGGACATTTGTTTTATATCGTTAAGTTAAATGAAAGCTGCCAAAGTACTCGAGATCAGCCGAATACCTACATTGATAGAAATGACGTCTTACAATGAGCAAGACAAAGTTGTCTGCACATTCAATAAATACTTTGTTGAAATTGGAACTTTACCATCTACTAATTCTTCAAAAGTAACTTTTTTTAAGAATTCCTACCCAACCCTCAACCCAATTCGTTTTTTCACCCCTGATGACATTAGTGAGGTAGCCACTATTCTTAAATGCCTTTAAAAGCAACAAACACGTTTCTGATTTAACTCCTGTCCGCCTTTATCATTTAATCTCTCTATCACCAAGGTTGTTTTTCCAAACAGAATAAAACAAGCCCGTGTAACTCATTTTTTTAAAATCTGGACCAAAATCTGATATTTCAAATTATCGTCCCATATCAATTCTTTCTATTTCAACAAAAGCCTTAGAAAATAAGAGATGAGAGAATTACCAACTTTATTTCAAAATATGATATTCTACAACAAACAATTCGGATTTAGGAAAAGATACAAGGTTTTTAATACGATCGACCATACAATTCTCTTATACAAATTATCCCATTATGAATTACGTGGCCCAGACCTCGATCTCTTCCAGAGTTACCTTTCAAATCATATTTTTTATTTTCAAAATTACTAGTATTTGTAAATTTCTTTTGTAAATATAATGTAGCCTATATACAAAAACTAAACATAAAATAAAAATATATTTGTGTACAATCAGAGAAAGCTAATAGATTGAACATTTTAAAGATCATATTTGAACACACACACAAATGTTTTCACGTGCAAATCATGGTTATGTTTCTAATAATAACAATTCATTCTTTTGGAATAGCAGCAATTAGAGTGACGTGTATTCACTGAGCCAATTTCTCTTAACACATAATTTTCCAAGTATTTCTTCTGGTTTCATATAATTATATAATTGATTTTACTAAATCCGGAGACAATCCAGTTCTTATAAATCAAAGATTTACTTCCATGCGTAATTACCTTATTTTGTTAATGAAGTTAAATTATAAAGCTGGTACATTATTTAAGTTGATATCATTTTTATGTTAATACTTGACATACTAAACTTACGCGTACTTCGCCTTTCTTGGGTGATATGCAATGCCAATCTTGAAAGATGACGTCACGCACATTCTTGCTGTTCATTAGGTGATGGTGACGTAATGCCATTTACCGTACCTTCAGCAAATTAAAGTAGAAATACGGTATTGTATCTCTACCACGGTGATAATATAACGGCAATAATTTCCATATTATGTTTTCTGCACATCAATCTTCTTGCCCAAGTAATTTTGAGGGCTGTTATGGGTAATGAGAAATCAGGTATATTTATGCCACCTCCAAATAGATTACCGATTTGCTAGGTGTCGTGTTTACATTTTGTAATTTCGCTCACTAGCCGTGACTTTTTTGGCAGTGTAACGTAACAGATAATAACGGTTCTAAATAAATAAGCGTGTATGTTCGGGTTGGTTGTATTTGTATGCGGTTTTAAACATATGGTTTAATAATGCATTCGTACCAAATCAGTAACATCGGAAATTGTTACCAACGATCTAAACGTTGGTAACAACCATTTTTATATAATTAACAACACGGTTCATGTCCTGAGTATGAATTTTTAAACAAATTTGTGTTAACTTTCACACCGATGGCCCGGAAAGTAAGGCTGAGTTACGGTACTAATAATAAACTAATAATAAAAATAACGATTACTAATGAAAATGTGTTGTTTTTTTTTACTTCTACTAGTGGTACACGGGAACCTAATAATAAAAATAACGATTACTTATGAAAATGTGTTGTTTGTTTTTACTTCTACTGGTGGTACACGGGAACCTAATAATAAAAATAACGATTACTAATGAAAATGTGCTGTTTGTTTTTACTTTTACTGGTGGTACACGGGAAGCTAATAATAAAAATAACGATTACTTATGAAAATGTGTTTGTTTTTACTTCTACTGGTGGTACACGGGAACCTAATAATAAAAATAACGATTGCTAATGAAAATGTGTTGTTTGTTTTTACTTCTACTGGTGGTACACGGGAACCTAATAATAAAAATAACGATTGCTAATGAAAATGTGTTGTTTGTTTTTACTTCTACTGGTGGTACACGGGAACCTAATAATAAAAATAACGATTACTTATGAAAATGTGTTTGTTTTTACTTCTACTGTTGGTACACGGGAACCTAATAATAAAAATAACGATTGCTAATGAAAATGTGTTGTTTGTTTTTACTTCTACTGGTGGTATATGGGAACCTTATAATAAAAATAACGATTACTAATGAAAATGTGTTGTTTGTTTTTACTTCTACTGGTGGTACACGGGAACCTAATAATAAAAATAACGATTACTTATGAAAATGTGTTGTTTGTTTTTACTTCTACTGGTGGTACACGGGAACCTTATAATAAAAATAACGATTACTAATGAAAATGTGTTGTTTCTTTTTATTTCTAATAATACTGTACCATTTAGACCATTGTATTTAGTACATTATTTTTTACGGAGTAGTTTTTAATAGCATAATTTTTAGTTAAAGTATATTATTATTACTTAATAATTTACTTAATTTGTAACTTATCAAGAAGCAAATGTATTTGTATTTTGAAATAAAGTATATAATTAATTAAGTAGTGGTAACCAATTGAATTGTGATCAACTTCTGGTGTGTGTTGTTATGACAGTAATATTGTCTGTTAAATCTGTAATCAGTTGGTGAATTCGCTTTGCATACACGTCCGTCAAAATATGCATGTTTTGTCCTCGAACGCAAGACGGTAAATAAAGTCACCACGGAAATGTGTATTCTATTGTATTTTTTCAATGAAGGGCGTTTACAGTTAACTTAAAGTGCTTGGTTGTAGAGAAAGATTATTATTACTGTATTATCATATTATTCATACTGTATAGAGTATTTGAAGAATTCTACAATATCTACAATATGGAAAGACAATATCAAATAAATTGAAAGTTAATAAAAATAAAATTATTACAATTTACATAATTCAAATTAATTAAAAATGTGTTTATTCAACGAAACATAAAGCATCAATAATATTGTAAGCTCCAATGATATTAAGATAAATGCAGTAAAATACACTGGCAGTATATTAAAATTATCAACATTATTCTTCAATGATTATATCGACTATACGGTAGCATTATTGTATTACAAAATATATATAATTTTGTTTGATTATTAACATATATGAATGCATAATAATGTACATTCGTACAGTTTCAAATATACTGTACAGTACAGTATATTTCCGACGAAATATATGAATCTTAACTAGGCCTATATAGCAATAGATTAACCACACACAAAATAGTAAATTCCATTTCACTTGGTTTGATTATCAAAATATGATTACATAATAACGAACATTCGTTGTTTTAAATGATAAAACGAAATAGGGGCCTATATGAATCTGAAACATTATTATTGTATTTTGGAATATAACTAATTAATCTTGCATTATGTAGACCTATGTATAATACGCGTAATTATTATATACTGTACGTTTCAAAAACCGAAAGGTCCACTGATTAATCTCAGATAAGAAAGTATAATACATACTCCAAGTATTGAAATAAACGCCATCGTGTTGGGATTCAATATTTCGACATTAATTATTATTAATTAGGAATGATTTCCTGATGATGACATAATTGAATGTATTATACTTTCTTATCTGTACGTTTCATTCCAGAAAAAAGTGATTGGTTACCGTATTTAAAATATCTTATACACTAACACGATTATATAAGTGGGCCATATAAAAATAGTAGTTATTAATGATAAATCAAATTTATCATATAAGCTGAATTATATATTTTTTATTCTACATATTTATTTTTGGTTTTCAGGTATGTTCAAGTTGGTAAAGGATCCCTTTTATTAACTGTTCTCCATTCATAGCTTCGTCAGGTCAGGCACCACCACCAAGCAGGTTCCCAGCTAACACATTTACGTTAAAATAACGTTATAAAAACGTATGACTTTGGTTCTAAAAACGTTTTAATAATACGTTTTGAAAACGTAATTTTGTGGAGTTTTGAAAGCGTTTTAATAACGTTTTGATGTAACGTTTTGAAAACCTGTCTCTTATACACATCT